AAACCCCTTTAAAATTAATTAATTTAGACTATATGTTCGCATGCAATTCTTTATTATAGATTTTAATTTCTATCTACCACATTTTATAACTCTTATAAAATTTAAGAAATTAAAACTCTAATCATGCATTGTAAGCATACATTAATATAACAATTATATTAACCAAAGTAATGTCATGCTCAATGCAACTTTATTTTGATCTAATGAATATAACACTTATATTAATTATGAAAATAAAACATATATGCATACATTATAACATTTTTAACTATATGATGCATGATCATACATACATACTATATGTCAAACATACATATTATGCATGTAACCTATGGTGGGATTTTAAAACTATATGGCATACAATATGCAATATGCTTTTAATTAAAATATACATTCATAATGCATAAAATAATTAAATAGCAAAGTTGGACCGGTTTTTGGCACCCTAAGAAAGAAATTAATACAAAAAATAAAGAAAACGACTGCAACCGCCCTCGAACAGCGAACCGGAGCCACGGAAACATGTCGAAAAACACCCGGGACGGCACCTAAGGGCAGCGCCACGGAGCTACTGCAGCAAAATGTCGCAGCAGCAGTGCGGCAGCGCCAAGGCACGACACCATAGCGCTACACAGTGCAGCGCCGTGGTGCTGTGTGATATTCCCGCAGCGCCATAGCGCCGCTGCATAGTGCCATGGCGCTGTTTGCGTAGTCTGGTTCTTCTTCTTCGCTGTTTTCTGCAAATTTTCTCCAAATCCGATGCCAGGAACAACTTTCGAGCGACGCAAACTTACAAGCTCGATACAAAAACTCAATTCCCAAAACATTGGGCCTTTACATGATCAAATCAAGACAAATTGCATTCTACATGCCAAAAACCGGAAATTTTCCAACCCGCAAACCCATATTTCGAAAATATGAAAACACCCACGAAGAACACCGATTTTGCTCCCAAAAAATCAGAACATCAACGCAGCTCCGATACCAATTGATGGGATGTGAATCTCGGAGCGGAAGCGGATCTTCGTTCATGATTTTTTAGAAACAAAACAAAAAATGCAAAGAAGAAAATACAGGGGAAACTTACATTTGAAGAACTTTTCTTCAACGATTTCCACCCAAACACCACCACCGAATCTTCCTTGATATCCTCTTCGGTCTCGAGATCGTGGTTATGGGAGCACCGTTTGGAATCTTAGGGAGAATTTGAGAGAAATTTTAGGTCTTCTTCTTGTTTGTTATCCCCGTTCTGTATCTTGCAGAACTACAAAAGGGAAGGGATAACAAAGACAGTGACGTGGGGAGTTACCCCACGTCACTTAACTGCCCACTCCCCTGCAATTTTGCAGGGGAGTTTAATATTAATATTAATAATTAATAAATATATATTTATATAATATATATAATAATTAATATATAAAACTATTTAATTAATCATATTAATTAATTATTAATCTAATTAATAATTAATTAACATATATATATATATATCGAATAATTAACACTTAATTATTTATCACATAAATAGAATCATATTCTATAGCATTTCTCTCGTATAACCTATAATTCTAATGTACATCTTATGTACATTATTTTTAACCTATAGTTTTAATATAAATCTTATTAATATTAATTTTATTTGAATTTTATTCAAATAATTTCTTTTATAATATATAGTTTTAATTTAGAATGAACTATATATTATAATGTATCAATGTACATATAACCCTTTAAGTAATTTGAACAGTTCAAATTCTTCCAAAAACTTGATCCTCGTTTTACCAGTTATGAACTAGCAAGGGAACTTAATGGACTTACAGATCAGAAGCTCCAACGATACGAGATTAATCGGTCAAACTCATTGACTGAGTTAATCAACATTCGTTAACTACGGGTCACTCCACTAAAGACCCGTAGTTGCACTCTTCTCACTGTAGAATGTTTTCGTGTCCATGGATATACGACCATTAATGACAAGTCAATCATTCACGGGTGCTCGTAACTCAAGTTGGGTCAAATTACCGTTTTACCCCTGAGTTACATCTTACTCCTTAAATGCCACTGCTCCTCTAATGAACAACCTGGTTATGGTCCGACCAATAACCGGAAGTCCCTCTCGGGCCAATGAGAGGGTGGGGCCCCTTGTTCAAGTCCCGAAGTCAGCATTTAAGAGAACACTCATCTACTCCCCTAAAGTCGGGGAGGAGTGAATTCCATCTTGTAAAGTTCCCAGCTCCCCACTCGGTCTCGTCCCGAAAATGGTAGGAATATTGAGTCGGCAACTCGGGCCACTGTCACCCATACAGATCAAAGGATGAGCCCGAGTGTTTTTGAAGGAGGGAAGTCTGTAACGCCCCGAGTCCCTCAGGTTAGTTGTCTCGAATCAGAAGATTTTTCATTTAATTTTTTTAAAAATTAATTGTTAATTAAATTTATCTATATTTATCGGGCTCTAAACTCCAATTAAATTAATATTTACCAGACTCCGTGTGGTGGGTCTTGTTTTAAAGGGGGATGGATTCCTTATCTTTTGGGCTTGGACTTGTTGGGCCTCTATTGGGTTAATTTGGTTTTAGAACAAAGGAAAAAAAGAAAACAAAAAAAAGGGAGGGACTTCATCTTCTTCTTCTCCTTCTTCCTTTTGCCCTAGCTGTCACCCACCCCTCTCTTCTTCTTGTTCACCGGCGACCACACCTCACGGCGGCGACGGAAGCGGCG